TATATATATATATATATATATATATATTGTATGTCTAATTATAACCTTGCAATAATTAAATATATACATAATATTACATTATATTTCTGATTATTTTCTTTTCACAGTGAAAATAGGGTTATGCAATCTGTCGGTTCGGTTTTTGGCCAAATTTGGCCAAACCGAACCGAATTGCCTATCATTCAAAACCGAACCGAATCGATTCAAGTCGGATCGGGTCGGTTTGTTCGGTTTTCACTTGGGTACAAATGTTATGTCCAAATTCAATTTCACCTCTAATATGTTGACGAAGAAAGAAGTCTCTTATCCTTTAAATTATTGAAATTCATAAACTATCGAATGCTCCTAAATATTAGATGTAGACATCAAAATCTTATTCCTGCCAAAGCTTACATAAATATTTTTTTGAGAAAGCTTACATAAATAATTAAAGTGATCTCAATCTAATAGACAAAGTAAATAAAAAATATGTGATAATTTGGATGTTGAGATAGTTTCTATAAAATTATAAGTTTGATCCAAAGAGAAGTATGATCCAAAGATTCTCTTGCATTACGTGTATCAATCGAGGAGAAAAATCAAGAAAAGATTAGAATCAACATTATGATTTAAGTTTCTTACCTCTAAAGTGAATTGGTCCAAAGTAGAAGAAGTGAACAGATAATAGAGAGAGGTAGAGATCGAACTAGGGATGATAAAAAAAAACCTAGAATTGGAGAGAACACTATTGTTGGGATAATTTATTACTATCAGGTCGCGTAAAGAAAAAATATCAAGCTATAGCGAAGTAGCTTTATATGGACTATAATGGGTCGGGTTTAAGTGGATGCAGATAATAATTAGAATGGGTAATACGATTCGGTCGGTTCGGATTGAAAAAACTTTAACCGGACCCAAACTGAACTCTAGTTAAAACTGAATCGAACTGTCAAATTTCGGTCGGTTCGGTCGGTTTCTTTGGTTTGAACCGAACTATGCTCACCCTAAGTTAAAGGATTGACAAGCCTTTTGTCCACATATGCCACAAAGTTCTATATAAATCTGAGTGATAATAAGGATGCTGTTCAAACTCAAGAGTATTTTCTAACTTTTTGTGAAATAATATATTTCCTTTTTCATAAAATTTATTCACAATTATGAGTATTATAAGTAATTATTTTACTTATCTTTTTTCTCAGTTATATTTATGCGCTAATTCAATACCAAAATTTGGAGACTGGAACAATATCACTAAGCACACAAGTCAAATTTGAAATAGACGATGGTACAATTGATGGTATTTTTAAAGTAAAGGAATTGAATGATGGTGATGTAAGTTAATTTTAATTTATTTTAGTATTGAATTATTATCTAAACTTTATATATATTCAATTATAGCTTTTAACACTATATCAATATAAAAAACATGATATAATGATAAAAGTTGTCTTATTATTACACAATATACTTGATACATTTCATTTAAATTGCTCAAATGACGTATACAAAATTCAAATTAAACTTAAAATATAATACAACGGCTATACAAATATATTGCATAGACGTTGAAAGATTAATACTTGAATTGATTTATCATGCACTTTATTATTTTATTGGTTTTTTATAACTCAATTGATGATGAATATATTATTTATCTATACTATTTTAGGAGAAATGTTTCTTTTACAACGCTCAAATCATGGGAATTGAGGAGGTGTCGGGTTGGCAGCATCCTTCTCATGCTAATTACAATAACAAGCTGAAAGATATTAATGGGGTTCTTTACTGCAATCGTCATAAAAAATCAAATTTGTAGAAGAAATGTAAGCATAATATTATAATTTATATAAATACAAATTATTTATATTTTATAAAAATTAAATTGAATAATCAATATATTATGCAAATATGTATTTAACTTTAGGTACAAACTTATCTTACAAGTGACGGGTAGAACATGCATCACTACATTTGTAATATTCCATCACGACGTTCTTCGTTTAATGAAAATTAGTCCTTCAAAATTTACATCTTCGCTAGGTTTGGTAAATTATATAAAAATTATATGAAAATCGTTGATGATAATGTGGACGATGAAAAACTCAAGGAGCTATTACTTCTAACTAATGGAAAGGCAACATTTCCATAATCTTATTAATAAAATTATATTTCTCAATTATATATAATGTATTCATTTTTCTAATACAAAATTTATTTTTATTAAAGGATGAAAAGTCACTCGATATGACGCTGGTTGATGGCGATGACAGTCAATCAATTCAATATGCACCATACTTCGCGACACTTTGGAAATAGTTCTGATAAAAATTCGAAGAAGAAGGTGTTTGCTAAATTTAATATTAGTTTCATTATTTCAAAAATTAAATCATTGACATGTTATTCTAAGACGAATGTATTATTATCTCAGGATGAGAAACCAATTGAATTAAATCAGGATAATTCCATTGATAATCAATCTGTTGAATTAACTCCGGACTTGTCCACAACGATATCCACCACTAATAACAAAGGCAATAAGAAGATTTAGATGTTTCGCCTATTGCTATACTTGACTCTTCTACATTTAAAACCTCACCTACTATCAATGAAAAAATAAGGATACAATTACGTCGACTTATTTATACATTAATTAATTTTGGGCTAAATACCCATATTGGTATTTTATTTCAACCTCATTTGCCAAGAAGGTATTTTAATTAGGAAATTCAGCGTTAAGACATTTTAATTGAATAAAATTACCAATTAGGTCCTTTTTCTCGTAGGCGACCACTTTTCCGGCGAGAACTCGTCACGTGCGTTGCACGCGGTGGCTTAATCTTTGTTTAAGCTGCTGATGTGGCACTGTTTTCTGACCAATGCGGATCTGAGCTGGGACTCGGGGTGAACTCGGCGACGGCGGCTGATGTGGCACTGTTTTCTGACCAATGCGGATCTGAGCTGGGACTCGGGGTGAACTCGGCGACGGCGGTGAGTTCTTTAGGGCGGGCTGAGCTTGAAAGGAAATAGGGGTAGCGGAGCTTGGAGCGGCGGCGTAGCGTCTGTGGTCTCCGACGGGGAAGAGAGGACGGCGACGACTGGCGGTGGTAGGAGGTGGTCGGGTCTCAAGTTGAGGGCGAAGGGAAGCTCGGAGTTGGGCTGGTCGGCGGGAACTTGAGCAGCAGCAAGTTCGGCGTGGGGAAGCTCGACAGAGAGAGGAAGAGGGAGGGTCTGGGGGATGAAGGCGGGGAGTGGAGGGAAGAGGAGGAGATGGAGGTGTTGAAGTCGGGCTCGCCGTGGACAGAAGGGGGAGGAGAATGGGGTTGCTGTCGTCAGAGCTCGGTGATGGTGAAGTCAGAAAACAGTGCCACATCAGCAGCTTAAACAAAGATTAATCCATTGCATGCAACGCACGTGACGAGTTCTCGCCGGAAAAGTAGTCGCCTACGAGAAAAAGGACCTAATTGGTAATTTTATTCAATTAAAATGCCTTAACGCCGAATTTCCTAATTAAAATACCTTCTTGGCAAATGGGGTTGAAATAAAATACCAATATGGGTATTTAGCCATTAATTTTGATATATAATTTTTTAATATTAAATTTGCTAAATAAATATATTTTTTATTTTGCAGAACTAGACAAAGAACCAGCTCTTTCAACTTTTAAGAAGAGGATTAAATAGAGAAAAATAATTAGTAATTATTACAAGTTTTCTTAATGTTTTGCTTATTACGTCATATGACTGGTTGATTAATTAAGAACTTTTTTAGTGATACGTCATTTGCGAATAATATTTTTAAACATTAAACTGTCTTATATCTTAATTTTATTCAAGTTGTATTTAGGATATTTTGATTATCTTCATTTTATTCATTTATTATGAAAAATTAGTTTAAATGATCTTAATTTTAATATTATAGCTTTATATAAGTTGTTTAATATCATTACTTCCAGGCGGGTACATATTATGTAACCTTAATGACATTGGGTGAGAATGGGATTTACGTGTTTCGAAGAGGGTTAAGTTGTTAGATCTTTAAAATTATATTTGGATAAGAGTGATTGAAATGCAACGAGATATAGATGAATTGTGATAAGACCGTGCTTAACACAGGCTAAAACACTAGTGGTTGTTAAAAAAGTTTATAATTATCATAATATATTTAAAAAAAATTAGATACTTCCATGTGTGAAACCTTGTTGGCTTCAACATTTTACCTTCCAGAGGAATAGTGGAGTTTAAAGTCTTAAATTGTTAATGATTTCAGAGCAATTTCAATGATTTGAAGGACTAATTTTAAAATATTAATGACATAAGAAACCAATAACAAAAAAATTCTTATTATTAATAAAAAAATTAAATTCTTCAATTCTTCAAGGAAAAATCATAGGTTTTATTGAATTTTACTTAGTTATTAAAAAAACCACTTCCACCTCTTGTTTACTGACGGGGACCAAGTATTATAGTAATTCAAAAGCTTTTTTCCAAAACTCACTGTGTCAAAATTACAAGAAATTTAATAATGAATTTTTTTCAACACTATATGTACATCAAACTAAATTATATGAATATCTATACAATTATTCTCAAGAAGTATAACCTCCAACCTTACTTCTATCAGCTCTATATAAATCTTCATGCCACAAAAATAAACGACATAGAATTATGAAATTTTGTTCACCTTTGTTAAGCTCGCAACAAGCTTACCAGCCATTGACAGCCTACCTCTGCCATTGAACGAAATCTGTAGGATGTTATAATCTTTTAATCACAAGAAAAATAATTTTACGCAAGGAAAAGGAATTTTTTTTATCCAAAGGCATAACGTTCACTATGGAAAACACAAAAAATATTGCAGCAAACAATTTAGGGAACAAACATGATGAAGATGTACTCGGATTCTTGTCAGAAACCAAAAGTTTCAATTTTTAGCAGTAAGTAAAGCTTGTCGAAATGTCTTACAATAGATTCTACATAATGTCCTATCCACGCACCAAACCTATACAATTGGTGGTTTAGTTTTTGAGCGATATAAGGCATCTATATGCAACTATTTTTTTAGGGGCATAAAACAATCCCTCTTTTAATGCAGTGATTTCTCAGAACTGCTTCTCTATAGTTTCTCTCCTAAAACAGTTAAAATTTCAATCAGCGCGAACCACAACGGTTTGAGGCCTCAACGGTCCAATAAGCAAATATGGTGATACAACGATGGAGGCCATAAATAAGGTAAACTGCAAAAAACAGAATTTGCATTAACAACATGTAAATATATAATGATAATCAGCCTCGCATAACTTTGTTAGAAAAGGATAAATTTCACTAAACCCCCGATAACTTTGGGCATTTGACACTTAAAGCTAAAAGGAAAGAATTTTTTTACTAAACCCCCAATAAGCTTGGGATTTCCGAAACCCCTAAAACATTCAGATCTCTCTCACCTAACTCTGGTAATGGCATAAGCCCATATCCAAAACAGAAAATATCACATAAGCATCACAAAGTGATAGTTAGGATTTATGTGAAAAAAATCAAAATGTTTCGGGTTTTTTTTTTTAATATCCAAACTTATTGGGGGGTGGGGGTCTTGGTGAGGGCTAATGAGAGTCTTATACTTTTTGGGGATTAAGTGCCAAAGACCCAAACTTATTGGGGGTTTAGTGAAATTTACCTTAAAGAAAGAGAAGCATCAAAGAAAATGTTACCAAAAGTGGGATGGTTAAAACATTCCAGATAGGCCACAGAGCATACGATAACCTGAAAGTAACATGTTAACAAATTGAGATTCGAGCATCAGTAAAATACAAAATGAATAGAAAGAGAACAGGATTAATGTGTTCTACTTACAAGCAAAATGAGATGAATCCAAGAACAATAAGCAACGGTGCAGCAGAAGATAAGACTTCTGATTTCTCAGAAGATTTTGGTGGGCATGACGATAAGAAATATGTTGTATATACAACAACGCCTACATTGAGAATAGCACTTGCTAAACCAAGGTGCAGAGCAGCCCTGCAGACAAATATAAGAATACAAATGAAGAACAAATTAGAAAAATACAACAAACTGGCAAAATTACTTTTTCCTCTTTTGGAAGTAACATGTGACACTTCTAAAGATACTCTGACACAAAAAAATCCTAAGTTGTTAAGATTGAGGGTTATTTCATTCTCTAATATCCCACTGCAAGTTGAGTATCCTATGGGCCCAGAATCCTTTAAATCTGCTTTTATTATGTGGCTAGTGTCTGGTGGGATTTGAACATGGGTTGCTCATATCTTAGCTTTAAGTCCCTTCTATGCTATGATAACGACATCAAAGTTCTGATATATTAGATGCGGCTTTAATATGGTATCAGAATTGTCCGAGTTCAAATTCTATTAGACAAAGTGGAATCTAAAAGAAGCACCGTTGCATAATATAACTCAAGTTTCGACCTATGAGAAAGATGCCAAATTGGCAGTTGTGTATTCAAGAATAAATCTATACCTGTCAAACCTTCATCAAAACTGCGGAGTTTTGATGCAGTAGATTTTAAGAGACAAAACTCCTCAAGAAGAATACTAACTATATGCACACTTAGAAAACCACATTCTCATTAAGGAATATCAAGGAGCATCTAAACAGGTATAGCAGGTGGTTCTTTTTATCAATATTTACTAGAGAATTTGATAGTGACAGAAGATAAAATTTAGCAATAAATATTGTTGGGTTTGTGCCATGGTTTTAAAGCATGAAGGAAAAGTCAAGGTGGATTGGAGAGTAACGGGATGGCTATCAAATTAAATTAAGATGTGATTTCTTACTACTTTCAAGGCCTTGTTTGCTATCAAGGGTTTAGCAAAATTATAGACGTTTGTTATACTTAGCTTTCTAAAATCAATAAAGAGCTTCCATATCCGATTACCCTCCACCATTGCGTCTCTATGATGATATTTTGTAGCCACTTCTTTCAACTACCATCCCTAAGTTATCTTATATCAGCTGGCACTGTTTTAAAAAACTTCCGCCTAGTCCGCTTAGACGTACGTCTAGGCCTAGGAGGTACCTAGGCCGCCTAACTAACGCCTAGTGCTTAGGCGGTATTTAGGCTACCCACATAGATTTTACGAGCGTTTAGGGGAGCATTGTCTGCTTACGTGGATTGCACCCTGTAGGCATTGGTTGTGATTTTATGTGTTGTAGTCTATACGTCCTCCAAACTCCATTAACCTCCAAATATGAACACATTCACTACTTCCTCCGATCTTCAGCAAAACCTCATCGACCATCACTTAAATGAAGAAAGAAATCCGCCTAGACACCAGTCCAGCATCTAAGCTTTCTATAACATTGGCATTCACTATCAATTATTATAATTAAAAATAAAAATAAAAACATCATAGGCTCTAGCCTTGTTAATTATTATTTTGGCTATTTAGTATCTAAGTATGCATGATTTATTGTGGAACTAAGATTGCTATCTTTTTTTAAAAATTTATATGAATTTAATACATATTTTTATCAATTATTATAATTAAATAATTTAAAAATAGTCAAACGCCTAGGCGCACGGAGTATAAACATACAAAGAGCTATTGTAATTGGTAAACCAAGCAATTTAGTTAATAGTATTGGTATATTAGTATTTATGCATCTTTGATTGAGTATATATATATATATATATATATATATATATATATATATATATATATATATATATATATATATATATATATATATATATATATATATATATATATATATATATATATATATATATATATATATATATATATATATATATATATATATATATATATATATATATATATATATATATATATATATATATATATATATATATATATATATATATATATATATATATATATATATATATATATATATATATATATATATATATATATATATATATATAAGTATCACAATTAAAAAAAGAAAAAAGAAAAAAACGCCCAGAAACCGCTTAGGCGCCCGCCTAGGCGACTAAGCGTTGGGCGCTTAGTCCGACGCGTAGAAGCGCTCAGCGTTTAATATAACATTGTCAGCTGGAATCACAGCTAAACCAAAAATTTTGATAATTTTCTTACTACTTATTTTCTTGATCATGGCATTGTCGACTCATAGTTTAAACCCCTTTACAATGAAATAACATGAAGTTCTTGTCTCCATCCCACGTGCAACTTCATGGAAGGAACAAAGAGGTTTACAAATCAATTACAGAAAATCTTTCAAACAAGGTTCTCATTAGTTAAAGAAAAAGTTACTCACACAAAACTAATCATTAGGGCTGGCTACACGAGTCCTAATCTATGCAGCTTCACTACAAACCATCTCCTTGTTTACATTACCAAGTAGCATATCTTTTCACTTTCTGAATCCTTATTAGATCTTACATCAGTTCTTGTTACATCGCACACAGGAGTTTAGATTTTGGACATCTCCTACTGAGGATAAATGATACAAATTCAACTTGATAGGTTGCGAAATACATCAATTAGGAAAATTGATAAGATTATAATTAATGCAGTAAGGAGGACTAGACGCAGACTTGAGAGAACCTGGTCGGAAGAAATTAAGAAAGATTCGATCAACTTAATGAACGAGATAGCCTTTAACAGAACTGAATGACAAAATTTTGTGATAAAGACTTTGTGTCGTTGCTGCACACCATTAATTACAATCCTATCACTTTCCTGGACACACTTATCGCCTTCATTGCACATGGCCAAGACAATCTCAACCAAATCTCTCTTTTTTTTTCTTGACTTGGGAAGGTAAACTCAAACTTCTTCAATGCACTCATTTCTCTCCTAGGAGTTGGACACCAAACAGTATCAAATAAAGATTTATTATCCTAACCCCCATAATTATAGAAGAGGGAAAGCTAAGTATAACAAACTTAACAAGAAACTCCTACTTATCCATTGACCCATAAAGATCTATGAACAAGTATATCATTCATTAAAAAGAAAATTCAAATCATGGGCTACTATGAAGAGAATGCATCTAAACAGTAATCAGAGAACTCCATACCTTCTAATTCTTGCATCAGCCCACAAGAGAGAGATCATGTTGACCTCCCAATCACCAAAATAAATAATGAACACCGCAGACAAAACCCAAACCAAGTTCTCCGCCAACTCCGGCCAAGTCCGAGCCCGCCGCACCACCGGAAGCGACACCTCGGCCGCCGCCGCCGTCGGCGTCCTCGAACAAGCGTCATCTTCGAGATCCTCTCCGCTCGAATTATACGCCTGATTGAATCTCAGCCTCATGAGGCCGCCACCGGCGGTCGGACGGTCGGAGTCCCTCCTGACATTATCAGCTCCCCTTCAAAGATCCTCAACAAATTGAGAACCCAGCTACAAGATGAGATCTTTTCAAATACCCACGTCGCAAAATCCAATCTCGCTTTGATTTTTGGGGGGATCTTTTTTAGTGAATGCTTGCTAATTATAAGTCGTAACAAAATTCGTTTCTTGACTTTAATAAAGGGAATCGTCGCCTTTCGTCTTTAGAAGGAAACTCATGTGTGGTTACCTCCGGTGAACATAGGAGAATTAACTAAATTTCCCAAAACTCCCAAGTGACTTGGGGATGTTTAGCACTAAACCCTCAAAAATTTTCCTGCAAAACTCCCAAAACTATCAAACAATTTCTCAAAAGATTTCACTTCTCTTATAACACCTTAAAGAAGTGACTCCAAGAATCTTATTATCTATTTGGTTTTGTTCTTTCCTTATTTTCTCTAGGGCTCTCTTTTGTCTTTCGAGTAGTGATAACTAGGCTACACCTTCTTAAACTATTTTACCTAAAATCGTGGCGTCCTTGATCACTCCTCAATTTTGAAAACAATCCAAGTAGGAAGGACCTCACACTTTGGCGAGTAATAGTGTAGGAGTACTTTGAATAATATATTTTACCTAGAATTATTCTTTTCTTTACTCTTTCTTTTGTGCGGAATGGTTGGCGCCTTGGCGGTGAAGCTAAAAGTTTTGGGATGTTACCTGCAAATCTTTGGAGGTTTTGGAATTAGTTAAAAAAGGGGTTTAGTAACAAAATAAAGTTCGGAGGGCTTTCGTGGACAGCACATCAAAGTTTTGTGGTTATGTGAGATTTTTCCTAAATATGATATTATTTTATTCATAGGTAAATTTCAAATTGGAAACATAATTTGAATTAGACATGATTTTTGAAGTATCTACTAATATTATGATATATGAATTCATAATTTAAATATATGATTAAAATATTTGTTTGAGATTCTTTCATATTAAGAAAGACGATAGAAATAGACGTACTAAATGTCTTTAACTAAATATAAAATTTGCACTCCATGATACAACATGGAATATGGGATAGAATGGTCAGATACACAAATGAATAATATATTAATATTTATGTTTGATTGTTTAATGTATAAATACCAAAAATATATATATACTCGAGTTGCCAAGAATAACTTTATTATTGAATTTTAGATAAATACTTATTATACAAACCAATTGTTTAGCATCTGAGAGAAGTGAGTTTAAGGAGGGTGAGCGTACCCGTATCCGGGTGAGGACATCTTGGATGCTTTGGTTTGACTTCACCAAAATCTTCGGATAGGCAGTTGATTGTGGGATGAGATCGAAAGAGCCGAGAAAAATATTGTCTATAAAAGGAATTTAATTTGTGCACATTTTCCACGCCACCCAATATTTCACCCCCTTAGCTATGTTGTGAGTAGGCCACATATGGTTCAAGCTTAAGATACTCACGAGTTTGGTTGATTATGAGATTAGATGTAACGAGAGTGGAATCTATGGTAAATTACTAAATGCATGAAGCTAATAATCGTTGATTGTGATTTCAAATTTGTCTACTCTGTTGAGTTATTTTGAGATTAGTTTTTGGGTTGTTGTAGGAGTTAGCCCAAAGGTCTTGTGAAGGGCCTATGTTTGGATTGTTCATTCAAGAAACGATGATTTTGTTAGAACATTGTTCGTATGAGATTGTTGTTCATACGATATTGTTAGAACTTTGTTCGTACAATATCTCTTATTTGATTAATAAAAAACTCTTATTTACTACTGATATATTTTGTGAGGTAGTATATTTTAAGTATAAATATGTACAAGCAAGATATGGTTCTAAACGATGAAAAAAACAACATGAACATTGATTTCAGCCTTCGAACCATCGATGATTAAGAGACACCCATCAATGGTCAAGCATCTCATAGATGGTTACAGGAGCCAATCGGAGAAAAACAGAAACAGGAATTAGCATCATCAATGGTCAACAGTGACCCATCAATGGTCATAGAGAATCATCGATGGTTACATGAGAGTCAAAAAAATCCAGATACTAGAATTAGCACCATCGATGGCTATAGTTGAACCATCAATGATCACCAAGGGACCATTGATGGTCGTGATCCACCATCGATGGTTATAACAAAATTTGACAGTTTTCAGGATTTAATCTCAGTCGTTCATCTAACCGTTTGATCTCCTATTTGCACTCAGATTTATGTATCTCTTTCGTGTTCAATCAAAGTCTATTTAAGGAGAGTTGGAGATCATAATTAAATGAAGAAAAAGGATGCAGATATACAAAAAAAAAAAAAGAGAACTTTGTTTTAGGGTTTGTGTGTGTGAGAGAGAGAGAGAGAGAGAAAGAGAGAGAGAGAGAGAGAGAGAGAGAGAGAGAGAGAGAGAGAGATGATCAAATCCCCAGAGCCTCGTTCAGCTTCTTCTCAGCGTACTTTTTATCGGAGTTTGATTCAGTGAGAAGGAGTGTCCTACGCTTACACCGCTACATTGCTTCTTTATGGATCTTCATCTTCATCGATTTGAAGAACGGTTTGATAAAAAGCTGTATGATTGTTCTTTTTGCACTTTATTTATTTTGGTTGGTTGTGTATCAAACTTGTGAGTTTGACAACATACTCAAGCCTAAGTAATTGAATGTTGGGCTAGTTAGGGTTAGAGTTCTTCGAGTCATTATAAAAAATTAGGTTAGACGACTGGTTTCGGGTAGATTTTAGAGTGCAGTCTTTAAAGCCTACTGAATTGGGTTGTGATTTAGGTGAACTCTAGTCATAGTGAGGAAGACCTTTCGCAAGAAAGAAGAGTGAACGTAGGATTTTGAACTGAATCACTATAAAAATTTTATGTATTCTTGTGTTAGTTTGCTTTTTTATTTTTCGCTAATTATATTTTCACTGTATTTTCTAAGTCTTGTTGAAAAATTGTAGCAACCTTATTCATCCCCTCTAAGCTTGCGCCTCAGATCCAACAAGTGGTATCAGCACCCCATTACACGTACTTACTTATCACAGTTTAGGGTAGAGATGTCAAGTCTTACCACTGTTTTAATCTTTCCTAAAGGACATGCTATCAATTGTCCCTTACTTTTTAACGGTACCAACTACACATATTGGAAAGCTCGTATGAGAGGTTTCTGTTGTCAACTAGTTTCGATGTTTGAGAAAGTGTAGAGCATGGGTATAAGGAACTTATTGCTGAGGTAGAAGGTTTCTATTGTTCTAACTAAGGATAGTCTTCTAACTCTTCTCTTTTCAACACTTGTTGCTCCAATTACTGATGATCTTCCATTGCCTCTCATATTTCCACCACCTGCCATAATGAGATAAGGATCAACCTTCTCTGGCCCTACCACTCTCAAATATGCACCCAAGAGCTCGAAGTCTTTTACGAGCTCTACGATCTCCCTAGGGCCTTCTCCTTGTCAGCGCCGCAAAGGGGTGAGTTGATGTATCATCACCGCCAGGATATATCGTCGCTCTACCTGGCCCATTTAGAGGATGGGCTCTGGTTGCTGCTCCACCCTTTTCTTCGAGAGGTATGCGGTGCCCTAGGGATATCCCCTTCGCAGTTCATCCCTAACACCATGGCCACTATGATGGGATTCTTAGTGATCTATCACCGAATTCAGATAGAGCCAAGTATGCGCTTGCTGGGTAACATCGTCAGCGTTAAAATGACGAAGAAGGATGCCTACTATTTCCTCCACAACATAAGCGGCAACAAGTTGGTGTCGGATACTCCGGAATGCAACAGGGACTGGAAGGAGGGGTTCGTATGGGTTTTCAATGCCGACCCAATCCTATCTTTCCCCACATGGCTAGAGATCAAGAAGAATGTGCTAAGGCCGTGCATACTCTCGACCGAAGAGGGGCAACAGTTGGAGAAGATCCGCTCCTATGGTGTATCGCGGGAGATGAGCAATCTCTTCAAGTCGTCCTCACTCCGAGTGGCTGGCATATCTAGGGTTCCCTCCATCGAGCCCGATAAGGCACGAGCGGCTTTCCTAGCCCTCCCTCTGAAGAAGAACCCATTAAAGAATTTGAAGGGGGAGGACTCGTCTTTGGGGAATCCAGCCTTGGTCATGAAACCTAAAAGCGGCTGAGGGATGAGCTAGTTCTCGAGGAGCTAAACAGCTTGCGATTGAGGATGGCTAAGATTGCTGTAAAGCTGGCCGGACCTAGTGCATCCTCCCAAGTGGAGAAGCTGGATAAGAAGAGGAGGAGGTTAAGTAGGGGCCAAGGGTTATGTCGTGGCGGTCAGGCGGTCCCAAGCCAACTCGACATTGAAGGTGGAGGTTTCTGGGGCAAATCCAAAGGAGGACCCGCAGTCGAGCAACCTTCCTCTCTAACCGCCAGAGGTTATCATCCTTAATGCGACTTCTCCTCCTAAACAATCAGGCAGCAATCAAGGTGCTGAGCAATCGAACAGCAATCAAGGCACTAAGCAGGCCGTAGGCAAAATCCTAGTTAGGGAGTCAGTAATTCTGGCTCCTTTACCTAAGCCTATGCACATGCCGGGTAAAGAGCCTGTAAAGGCGTCGAGGGTTGTGGGAGAGGGCGGCTCTACTCCAACCGTCAAGGGATCTACCTAAGACTGATGCTGCCCCAGTGCCAGAGGGGAGCTTCCACTGGTCATTCTGCCACCGCATCTCAGAGGTCGATGGCCAAGTGTAGGGCGAGCTGTGGGCCAAGTTGCTTGGCGAGCTGGGGAGCCCATCCAATCATCGGGAGGAGCTTTCGTAGGATGACAAGTTCATCCCCAACAGGCTTCTTGACAGGGAGAGCTCTATCCTCACTTCAGGTTTGGATCAGGTCCGGGCCTTGGACCAGTTCTCGCTCCCAAAGGACATGGAGATTTTGTAGGAGATGCCGACCGCTGGTCTGCCCCTGGCCCTTAGGGGCTATCTTTTGCGGGGGACTTTAATTGAGCAGGAATTGTACTCTTAACTTACTTTCACGCAGAGGCTCCCTACCA